ATTTATTTTTGGGGCGTCTGGGTGGCTCAGTCAGTTGGGCGGCTGCCTTTGGCTAGGATCGTGGTCCCAGGGTCCTGGGATCGAGCCCCGCATGGGCTCCCTGCTCGGCGGGGAGCCTGCTTCTCCCTTTCCCTCTGCCTCCTGGCTTGTGCTCTCACTCTCTCTCTGTCAAATAAATAAATAAAGTCTTAAAAAAAAAAAAAAAGAATTTATTTTTAAGTAATCTCTACACCCAACGTGGGGCTCAAACCCACAACCTTGAGATCAAGAGTTGCATGCTCCACTGACTGAGCCAGCCAGGCACCCCTGATTTTTATTTTTTTTTTTAGCAATGAGTGTGTTACATTCTCCCCTGAAGTAAAATAATGATATTATTATTTTTTAAATTTGCTGAAAAGCAGCAGCAAAGATCTGGAGGGAGGATAGGGTAGAGGGCTGAAAGGAGGTGCCTCTGCCCAGGGAGTAGGGATGCCAAGTAACAGAGGCCCCCTGAAGAACTCAAAGAACGTCCTGTCTCCTCAGGCATGTGTGCGGGATGCGGAGAGGAACTTTTTGTCCTTTATATGTCCTCATCTCCTCCGCATCCTCTCTTGCTCATTCCTATGGTTACAATAAAAAATTTAGTCAATAAAAATACAGGATGCCCAGCTAGTGTTGAATTCCAGATAAACCTCAAGTCATTTTTTAGTTTAAGTGTGCCCCCACACAATATTTGGGACATATTTAGACTAAACATTTATGTACTGTCTCTGAAATTCAAATGTAATTGGGCATCCTGTATTTTATCTGATAATCCTACTCACTCCACACCAGTTACCCTGGCCTCATGGCTGTCTCTCAAACACACAGCCTCAGTCCTGCCTCAGGGCCTTTGCACCCACTGGTTTCTCTACCTGGATCACTCTTCTAGGTCTTTGCTTTGACCAGCTCCCTGTCCTTTGGCTTAAATGTCACTTCCTTACAGAGGCCTTTGCTCGGCTCCCTACTGACAGCACGCTTTGCCATCCCACGCTTTAATTCCCATTGTATTTTCTCCGCAGTGCTGATCACCATCTGGAATTCTCAGGTGATAGTATTTTCATTTTCAGTGTCTTCTCTACCTCCTCCAGTAGAATGTCAGCCTCACAAGAGCCAAAATGTCATCTTGGCCACCACATTATCTACAACAGTTGGATCGTGGCTGGGTGCATTGTTTTTCCTGGTTCTTAGCTGTAACCAACAAGAACCATTTCTGGCTGAATTGAACAATGAAGGACTTCGGCAAATGAATATTTGTTAATGAATGAATCCTGAGACCCACAGTTTCCCCCTTCTGGTCTCTCCATAGACCCCAAACCACCTCACAGGCTGTCCCTGGGGCCCTGCTACTCCTCCGAGGGGCAGTTACCCCAGCCTGCTAGGCAGGCATCTGCGTACCCTCCAAAAGCCTTGCTCGGCTTTGCCTCCCAGAAGCTGTAGGGCCTTCTGTCCTGCAGCCTGTCACTTCCTGAGCATGTCACACATCACAGGTGTTGCAATCAGGCAGACGTGCCTGTCTCCTGTGCACCCAGCAGTGGGAGCCCCAAGAGCTGGGCCTTTATCTGATTCACCTAAATTACCGTCACTCCTACTATGTATGACCTGCTTCTTCAGCACTGTGCTGTTTTAAGCATTTTTTTTAAAGATTTTATTTATTTATTTGAGACAGAGAGAATGAGAGAGAGAGAGCACATGAGAGGGGGGAGGGTCAGAGGGAGAGGCAGACTCCCCGCCGAGCAGGGAGCCCAATGCGGGACTCGATCCAGGGACTCCAGGATCATGACCTGAGCCGAAGGCAGTCGCTTAACCAACTGAGCCACCCAGGCACCCTGTTTTAAGCATTTTTTATCTGAATTTCTCCTGCCTCCCCTGATCCATTCAACCAGTGTTTATTGACCAACTACTCTGTTTCAGGTACTGGAACCACAGGGGTAAACAGAACTGGCAGAAACCCCAGAAACCCCTGCCACCCCCCGAGCTCACTTTCGGATGGAGGAGATAAAGAATATATCATGAAAGATGTATTTTCATAGTAGGCCACAACGTGGAAGTGATCTGGAAGAGAATAAAGCAGGGAGAGGGGAGGGGAGGTAGGGGGTGGGATGCTGTTTTAAACAGGGTGGTCAGGGGAGGGCTCCCTGCAAAGGCTTGAAGGAGGGGAGGGAGAGAGCCATGCGGGTACCTGGGGGGGGGGGCAGTGTCCCAAGCAGAAGGAACAGCCAGTCATCTGATATAGTCGAGGTCAGTGTGGCCGGAGCAGAGTGGGCAGAGACAAGTAGTGGGAGATGAGGACAGGGAGGGGACAGGGGCAGATCGTGTGGGGTGGGCCACAGGGAAGATGCTGGCTTTCACCCCAAGGGAGATGAAGCTCTGGGAGAGCTCAGGCGGAGGAGAGACACGATCTGACACAGGTGTCCACCAGTCCCTTCAGCTGCATATGGAGAGCAGACTGGGGCGGGGGGGAGGAGAGGGGAGACCAGGCAAGGGACAGGTGGGCAGGACCAGGGTGGGGGCCTTGGAGATGGGAGAAGGGGACAGGCTCTAGATCGACTTTACAGATGAAGTCAACAGAATTTGCTAGCTGATTAAATGTGGGACGTGAGAAAAAGAAGAGTCAAGGACAACATCAAGGCTTTCAGCCTCATTTAATCCCAAGGCAATGCCATCAAGTATGATCATCCTTTGGTGACAGATGATGAAACTGACATTCAGAGCGGGCTGGGGACACCACATCCCACAGCAAGTGGTAGAGCTGAGATGCAAACCCCATTTCTGTCTAGCCCCAGTGCCAGGCCTTTGCTCTCTGTGGACCGCCCCCCCCCCCCGCCCCGATCCAGACCTGTTCACAGCCTCCCCTGGCCTGGAACGGAACCCTGCCAGGCCCACGTGGGCACCAGCTCAGGCTTTGGCTGCAGGGAGCATTGCATGACTCCGCGGCTGGCGACTTCACAGGCTGGGTGCATCCCTTTGCGGCACGCCCTCACTGTGTGTCACCTGAGTTGGGTAACCACGTTGCTCTGCTCGCCCATGAACTCCTACAGGGCCCCGCTGGGGCTGATTCATCGCTGTCCCTGGTGTGTCCCTGGCATTGTCCGGCCAGAGCGTGGCATGCGGTGGCCTTCAGAAGGCAGCAAGTATTTATGAAGCACCGATCTTATGCCGGGCTGTGCGGGGGCGAGCCCTGGGCCCCTCGCTCCTGGGGCTGACAGTCCAGTGGGAGAGACAAAGCCACCCCCAGACAGTGCTGGCCCAGGGTGGGCCAGGCTGGGACCCACCATGAACAAGATGGCCCTCGTCTCCCTGCCCCGCGCCCCCCCCCCCCCCCCCCCCCCGCACAGACCCTTAGCCCCAGGGCTCGGACTGACCACGGACAAGCATAAATCAGTCAGAGGATTCCAGGAAGCTAAGAGCTAGAAGTGAAGTAAAGCAGGGACGGGACAGAATGACGGCAGCTCTCTTTGCTGGGGCTGTCAGGGAAAGCTGTGACCTCAGGCTGAGAAGGTGCCAGCCCAGGATGAGCCGGGGAGAGGGCACACCGAGGGTGACAAAGAGCTTCGTGTAATTCAAGAAACAGCAGGAAGCCCGGATGCCCTGGGCACCGTGGGGGTGGCCAGGAGGGCGGGGAGTTAAGTGTCAGGAAGCTGAGCCCCTGCAGCTCATGGAGCAATAATGTGAGGTTGGCCTGCAGAGCTGGGAGCCCACAGGCTGCCCCAGGGAAGCTCTCAGCCCAGGGGCCAGCACCCAGCTTGGCCTAGGACTCCTGCTGTCAGATGTATCTGTCACCAGCTCAGAGCCCTCCTGTGGATAAAGGACAAAGTCCTCCTGGGCCCCACGAGGCCCAGCATGATCTTTCCCCATCACCTCCCTGTCTCTATCTTCCCCTACTCACTCTGCCCAGGCTGTACCGGCCTCCACACTGATCCCTGGCAGGACCGGTGTGTTTCCACCTCAGGGCCTTTGCACTGGCCATTCCTCTGCCTGGAACACTCTGCCCCTATGACTTCTCACTCAGACTCCTTCAGATCAAATGTTCACCCTCCCGGTGAGATCCCCCTGATTATCCTTGTAAAAACTGCAACTGTCCCCCCTCAGGCCCCCTCCCTGCTTTTTCAGAGTGCTTACCAATATTTACCCTGCTTTACATTTTTCTTATTTATTGTGTTTGCTGTCTGACCCCCTGGTTAGAGTATCAGCTCCGTTAAGGCAGAGATCTCTGGCTTGCTCACAGCTGTCTCCCAGGACTGAGACCAGGACCCGGTACATGGGAGATGCCCAATAAATAACGGGTGAATACACGAAAAGGAAGGGGATAGAGAGACGGAGGAGAAAAGGAAGGGAAAAGGGGAGGAAAATGGCACGTCTGTGAGATCCTAAGGCTTGTCAGCAACCCCAGCTTGGAGGCAGGAGTGCTAACACTTCTCAGTGCTGGGCCGGGATACTGAGGCACAAGGCAACACTGGTTAGTACTCCTTGGGCAGCTGGAGCATTGAGGGCGGCCTTGGAGTAGAAAGTCACCGACGCCCCCTGCCGGAGAGTGGTGTCATGACAGCTGTGCCCACTCCGCTGACTTAGGGCCGGTGATGCCCCTCACCCCCGCGGGCAGGGGAGGAGTCGGCCCAGGGGGCATCCCTGGCAGAAGCGCAGAGTCCATGGCCACAGCTATAAGCCTCTTTATTCCAGGGTCCCCGTGGGCGCCCTGCCCTATGAGTGTTATGCAGGAGAGCCGGGCTATGCCGCCCCACACCTGCCCTGCTTTGCTCTGTGCCTGGGCGCCGGCCCTCCCATCACAGCCAGTGGTACCCCCACCTCTCCAGGAGGAGAGAGCTGCTCCAGCTGCCTTGGGCTACGACCACTCCACACGGGGCCTCAGAAGGACTGGGAGCCAAGGCCTGCCCCGACTCTCCACCTGGGCCTGGGCAGTGTCTGGTCACACTGGGCAAGGCAGCGAGGCCCAGGGTCCCTGATGAGAGCTGCCCCTGTGCCTAGAGGTACGTCATCCGGCCAACCAGGGGTCTCACCACCCAGATGTCATCCACGATCTTCCCGTCCTGCAAGGGACAAAAACAAAAGAGGTAGTGAGAGCTGAAAGTCCAGACTCCAGGGCCAAGGACCTGAATTCAAATCCAGGTCTTTAATGGACTGTGTGACCTTGGGCGAAGTGTTAGACCTCTCTGAGCCTCAGTTTTCCTCATCTGAAAAGTGGGGATGATAGTAATAGTACCTACATCATAGATGTTGCGGGAATTAAATGAGATTATTTGTAGAAGGCTTTTTAAAAAGGGATCCCGGGACAAGGCAAGGACTGTGTAAGGTGTAGGCTATTATTATGAGCACAAACCCTGGAGTCAGACAAATGTCACTTATATATCTCAGTGCAACGGCTCTCTACATGGCCTTAAGAATGTTCCCCAACTATGAGCCTCAGTTCCATACTCTATACACAGGGGAGAACCGAATGGGATAAACACATAAGCCTAAAGCCTACCCCTGGTGCGTGCACTGCTCAATAAAGGGTAGTTATTTATAATAAAAAGAACACGGTCTTTGCGGCCAGACCCCAGGTCTGCCACCCTCCAGCTGTGTGACCCTTGGAAAATTACTTCCCCTCTCTGAGCCTCAGTTCTCTCAACTGTACAATGGAAAGAAAAACCATCCCATGGGATTGCTGTGGTGATTAAAAGGTTCCTAGATGTAAAGGGTCTAGCCCAGCATCTGATGTAAACAGGTGCTCAAGAAATCATAATTATTATTATTTTAAAAAGACAGTGACAGGGGCACCGAGGTGGCACATTCAGTTAAGCATCCAACTCTTGGTTTCGGCTCAGGTTGTGGTCTCAGGGTCGTGAGATCAAGCCCAGAGTCAAGCTCTGGGATTCTCTCTCTCCCTCTGCCCTTCCCTTCCTAAAAATTTTTTTAGAGATTTTATTTATTTGACAGAGAGAGACAAGCAGGGGGAGCGGCAGGCAAAGGGAGAGGGAGAAGCAGGCTCCCCACTGAGCAGGGAGCCCGATGAGGGGCTCAATCCCACGGCCCTGGGATCATGACCTGAGCCGAAGGCAGCCGCTTAACCCACTGAGCCACCCAGGTGCCCCAAATAAATAAATCTTAAAAAAATACAATAAGGGGCGCCTGGGTGGCTCAGTGGGTTAAGCGGCTGCCTTCGGCTCAGGTCATGATCCTGGAGTCCCAGGATCGAGTCCCGCATCAGGCTCCCTGCTTGGCAGGGAGTCTGCTTCTCCCTCTGATCCTCCTCCCTCTCATGCTCTCTCTCTCTCATTCTTTCTATCTCAAATAAATAAATAAAATCTTTAAAAAAAATACAATAAAATTACAATGGCAAAAATAAAGAAAGGTGAGCCATGATTATTTAGGTCCTTCTAACCTTGGGCCACTTCTGCCCAGCACACATCATACTGGTTTCCCTCCACCTGCTCCCACCACCGGCCTTTTTCATGCTTTGGAAACTGTTCTCAGCACTTTATATATTACAGGTCAAGCAACTATTATCATCCCCTTTAACAGATGGGAAAGTTGTGTCTCGGAGAGTTGAAATAAGTCGCTCGAAGTCAGCCAGCTGGTAAGTAGCAGAGGCGGGATTTGAACCCAGGATTTCCGGCTCTGGAGTCCATGCTTTTAACCACTCAGCTCCAGAACCCGCTGGGCCCGGTTACTCGGGCAGGTGATCGGGCCACCGCTCACTGACCTGGTCGTCTGACACCTGCTGGATGTGCACGTGGGTCCCGTTGAGGATTTGTAGCCGCGTGTATCCGTACTCCTTCACGCGCACGGCGCTCCAGGGCCTCGGGAAGAGGGAGAAGAGGGTCAGCCGCTCCTCACAGCCCTGCCAGACAGAATCCTTTAGACCCAGGGCTGGGGTGGGTGGAGGACCCACAAGGAGCAGAAACAACCTCCCAGGCCAGGACCCTGAGGCCTCCAAGGAAGACAAAGTCTGTTAAGCCTTGATCTCACTAAGACTTCTAGAAAAGTGCATGGTTGTGAGAGACTGCCCACTGCGGCATTTTCTGTAAGAGCCCTAAGCTGGAAGGCACCCAAATGCCCATCAGTGGGGGTCAGTTAAATAAATCATAGCGTGGCCATCACAAAGCAAGGTGTTGGTGGCCACGATGTACAGTAAAAGGGAAAACGCAATTGGAAGAATGGACAAAACCGGGGCACCTCAACACTGGCCGTGCCGTAGACCCTCCGAGAAAGTTTTTTTTTTTTTTAAAGATTTTATTTATTTATTTGAGAGAGAGAGAATGAGAGAGAGCATGAGAGGGGGGAGGGTCAGAGGACAAAGCAGACTCCCTGCCGAGCAGGGAGCCCGATGCGGGACTCGATCCAGGGACTCCAGGATCATGACCTGAGCTGAAGGCAGTCGCTTAACCAACTGAGCCACCCAGGCGCCCCCGAGAAAGCTTTTTAAGTCACCAGTGCCTGGGGGAGAGCGATTCCTCAGCCTTGCAGGAGATACGCCCGGCGACATAAGCAGAGACCATGCGGGACCTTGAAAAATCACCCTTTTGCACCCATCATTGGAATCATTAATGGAAGCAAGAATCATCAATAGGTGGTAAAACTCACGGTGAAAGTCTGAGGAATCGCCAGATAATGGCATAGTCCCAAATGATCTCTCCAGGAGAAATAATATATTAATAATCATTAATTATACATAATATAACAATATTATAAAATATTAATAATATGATAATAGCTGTGACAAATAAGAAGATAAAATAGAGATTAAAACAGATGTGGTTGGGGCGCCTGGGTGGCTCAGTCGGTTGAGCATCTGACTCTTGATTTCGGCTCAGGTCATGATCTCAGGGTCATGGGATTGAGCTCTGTGTGGGGCTCCTCGCTGGGTGTGGGGCCTGTTCCAGAATTCTTTCTCCCTCTGTCCCTTCCCTTCCTGCTCACATGCGTCCACGAGCTGTTTCTCTCTCTCTCTCTCTCTCTCTCTCTCTCTCAAAAACAAACAAAACATAACAAAAAGAGATGTGGTTAAATGTTCATGTTTGGGAAACATTGGTAAAGGGGATATGGAAAGTCTTTGTATTTTTGCAACTTTTCTGTAAGTCTGAAATAATTTCAAAATTTGAAAATGAAGGAAAACTAATCTGTGCTGATTAAAGTTCAGAATAGCGATCACCCAGGGGGTGTGAGGCGCCATCTGGTGCTGATAACATTCTATTTCCTGCTCCAGGTGGTGGCTACCTGGGCCACTGCCAGGGTCCCGTTCTCAGAGATTCTGGTGTTTGTTCTGGAATGGGGCCCAGACACCGGAGTTTTAAAACTTCCCCATGTAATGTCCACCAAAGTTGAGAACCCCTAGGGGATGAAGCATGATCCAAGTTGGGTTTTTTTTTGTTGTTTTTTTTTAAAAGATTTTATTTATTTATTTGACAGAGAGAGACACAGCGAGAGAGGGAACCCAAGCAGGGGGAGTGGGAGAGGGAGAAGCAGGCTCCCCGCAGAGCAGGGAGCCCGATGCGGGACTTGATTCCAGGACCCTGGGATCATGACCTGAGCCAAAGGCAGACACTTAACTGCCTGAGCCACCCAGGCACCCTGTGCACTGTTTGAGTTTTTATCACAAGTGTTTCTTACTTTGATCTTACTAATTTATAAGAACCAGCTTAAGAAATAAGCCCTCTCTCCTTGCAGAAGTGAGTGATTCCAAGGCAGACAGGGAAAGGGCAGGGAAACACAAGAGGATTCTTGGAACACCCCGTAGGGTCAAAAAATAAGGAAGAGCTCACAAAATGACAGGGGCACTCGAAAGAAAACACAGGCCCTGACCCGAAGAGTTCCCAGTGGCCCAAACTGGAGCAAGGTGATCAACAGCATAAATCACAGTCATATCGGTTTATCGCCCACAGGATACAATAATTACCCATGAGTCCACACTGGTATAAATCAATAACGAACTACATAAATGGAACCGAGGGGATGACTCTTCCTCATGAGAGATTCTAATTAATAAATCTAGGAGGAATGAGGGAAATAGAAACTTCCCATTAGAACACCTCAGTAATAATTGTTGCAGGCAGGACGCACTGGAGGATTCAAAAATCAGTGCGTGAAAGTTTGAGGAGTGCTGGGAGATTTGCATGGCCGAAAGGTATCTCCCTGAAGTTACTTATTAATTAGAAAGGGAAATATAATAGCTTTACAGTGGAGGAAACCCGCAGACACCTCCTTAACCAGGTGATTCAGAGACACACGGACGGCAGGAGCCCCGGGTCCGATGCACCGAGGAGAACACATCACTTCTGTGATCATCTTGCCCGAAATGCATAACCTGAATCTCAGCAAAATGACACATAAACCCAGACCACGGGGCCTTCTGCAAAACAACTGGCCAGGAGTTTTCTAAAATGTGCAGGATGAAAGACTCTGGAGACATGATAACTAACTCGAATGTGGGATCCTGGAACAGAAAGCGGTCGTCAGGGAGAAGTTTGGTGGAACGTGAATCGAGTCTGGAGTTCAGTGGCAGTGATGATAATAAGAAGCCGTCTGTCTTTGGATCCATCTGGTAAACTTGAGCAAGCCCCCCCCAACCCCTGCCACCTGTTGAGCCTGAGACTGAACGAGTATTTGACTGCCTGAGCCTCTGTTTCCACATCTGTACAATGGGCCTGCGACTAGGGCTACCTAAGCTCTCTGGGGGGAGTGTTGGTGACAGCAGCCGTATAAACACCTGGCCCCCCAGGCAGGCATAAGAGGCAGTAAAAATCAAGAGGCAAGAAGCCAAAGGCACCCTTCCCCGTGGTGCTCACGGCAGATCCTGTGATGATGTGGACCGGGCCTCGAGGGTTGGTGTAGGGCATCTCTCGGCTGCCATTAAATACCTGGAGACAGGGACAAGGGGGAAGAGCGTGTCACACCAGGCCAAACCCCAGGTGTCCAAGGGTCCACCGACACCAGCCACATGGGCCCTCGGCCTTCCCTGAGCCTCACCTGGTAGTCGTAAATGGGCCACAGGCGTTCGTAGGAGTGCTCATGAGCCCACAGCTGCAGGTCGACCCCTGAGACAGAACAAGTTGGGGTCAAGCTGTTTGATCCTGGAGAGGTTGGGCGGGGCGGTGGGGGGAGGGCGGGCTGGGTCCTGGGGCTGGAAGTCCCCCAGGTCACTCACCATATTTGTAGAAAAGATCCTCCAACCCAAAGAACTTGCCACGGAGGCCTTTGCGAACCTGGGCAGGGCGCACAAGGAAGTGAATGGGGACTCAGGCCGCCCCCCTCCCCCTCCTGGCTCTCAGCACCCCGCCTCAGGGAGGGGGTCCTCACCTTGCTTTCATGCCATGTACAGTCATCCAAATCAGCATTGGAACAGTACATGGGCCGGTGGCCCATGGTAATGATCCACGGCCGGGCTGCCCGGTTCTTATTGGCTTTCTAGAGAGAAGAGCCCCGAGTGAGCCCTGGGAGGGGTGGGTGGGGAGGAGAGGCAGGGCAGGGGATTATAGGGGACCTCCACCCATGTTACTTGGAGGTCGCTCTCCAGCCAGTGGAACTGTCTCTCTACCAGGTGGTGACCGTAACTGAGGAAGAAGTATACCTCGGTGGAGAAGGAGATGATGTGCGCAGGGCCCAGATCCCAGCTGGAGGGGTCAGAGGGCATAGGTCAGAGATGGGGGTCTCCTTGGCATCTCCCATCCATCCTCCAGTCCTCAGGGTTCCCCAGATTACCTGTACCACAGGCCTTCGTTGTTCCCTGGCATGCTGAAGCGGGCCTTGTAGTTAGAGAAGTTGCTGGGTAAAAGAAAGTGAAAAGGTGGGGAGAGAGTCTGGGTTCCCCAACCCGGCCCCCAACTCCCCACTGCCAGGCCAGGTCTGCCTCCCAGCCCGGCCCCCATCTCCTCTCCTCTTGATACCACTAATGCCCTGCTGCAGGATGAGGGACTAAAGTGAGACACTAAGAAGGACACGTCTGTTTGCACCGGTCAGGCCCTCACCCGCCCTGAAGCCCCAGGCCCTCACTAGCGTTCTTCGTGATTCCCAGGGCACGTCATATAGGGGAGGCTGGCGGCCACAGGTTCGATGAGCCGCATGAACTTGTCCCCGACTCGAGCATTGTCCTGATCCATGTTGTAGGCGAAGTCTCCTGGGGGGGGCGGGGGGCAGGGAGAGAGTGAGGACCCAGACCCGGTTCTCCTCTTGCTGGAACCAAGAGACCCAATTGCTCGGCTCTGCAACCCCCAGCCCCGAGCCATCCCGGTTCTGCAATCCCTACCTCACACCCACCCACATGTGCACTTGGAGCTGTTTCCTGAACCTCTGGCCCCTGAGGACCCCGCCTTGAGACTGCCCTGGTCTCCCATGCTCTGATCACACTGGCCCCCATCTCTGCTCACCTTCTTGTCCCCTCCCATGACAACGTTGAGACTGACACGATCTGATACTGGTTTTGTACCAGGCACAGTTCCAAATGCTTTACATACTTGATCACCGGAATCTTCCAAACACCCTCTGAGGTGGATGTTATTATCACCCCACTTCAGATGGGGAAACTGAGGCCCAGAGGGATTAGGTGCTTGCGCAAGGTCACAGGGCTGGTTAGTAAAAATCCAGGAATCAGGCCCTGGGAGTCTGATTCCAGAGTCTGCGGCTGTGAACCATGTCAGCCCCAATCTCCAGCTCCCAAGTGTGTCCCTGTCCCCTGAAGCCACAGCAGCAATGATCGTGACAAGGAATAACGGCACTTACATCATGCCAAGCCACGTCACCCATGTAGTCATCACGACAGTGCCATGAATTCTGGGGCAGCCTTAGCCCTCATTGTAATAACGCAGAGGACAAAACCAATAACGCACACGGCTCTCCGTGTTGGAGCTGGGATTTGCACCTGGGCAGGCTGGTTAACCACAGACACCCTCTCCAGGGCCCGTGTCTCATCGCCTGTCCCTTCAGAACCACACTAACCCCAGCGCGGTGCCCTCGATAGCCCCGGGATCACCTCCCACCCAAGCCCCACCCAACGCCTTCAGGTGCACCCTCGTCAATGCCTCACCCACGTGGAGAACAGCATCGTACATGCCCTGCTGGGTGTCCCTGCGCAGCCGCGGGAAGGCCTTCGGGTTGTCAGCCCCCAGGTCCCCAAACACAGCCAGACGGGGGCTCCAGTGGGGACCATTCTTCAGCGCCCGGAAACGGAACCGACGGCTCCAGCCCTGAGAACTGCCACAGCGGTAAACTGAGGGAAAGGGGAAGGTCACAGTCAGCTAGGAGCACGCCCTGACTGCCTCCTCCCCACCCCGCAATCCATCTTCACTTGGTGGGGGGAGGAAGTGGGGATCGAGGGGTTCCGACCCATGCCCTTCGGTCCACCCCACCCCAGGCCCCAGAGCCTTCCATTCTCATGCCAGAGTCTCATACAATAGGCTGCAGATCAGCAGAGCAGTTACCAGCCCGGCCTGGGCCCCCTGTCAGCGGTGGCTTCTCCTCTATCCCCCACTCCTCTTCCTGCTTCCCCATGAGCACTCGGGCCTGGGGCCCCTCTCACCATACTGGACCCCCGGCAGCAGCTCCCGCAGCGTGACCCGGTGTATGTAGAGCTTCCGCCGGAGAAGGCCCCCATCCACAAAGCGGCTGAAGGTGCCCTGAGCCCGGAGGGGCAGGGGGCCCGTTAGCTGCTGTCCGAACTGCACTTCGGACGGGGTGGGGACCCATGTGGTCCAGGTTACAGTCATGGAGCCCGGCTCACCTGGGGAGAAAGGAGCAGAGCGGGGCCGGGCTGTGAGGCCTGAGCTGGAGCAGGGGAGGATGTGCAGACAGAGCGAGGGGCAAGAGCGAACAGCTCTGGAACACTTAGTAATTAGGGACACGGGTTCTGGAGCTCCCCAGGTGAAACCTCAGCTTTGCCATTTCCAAGCTGCGCTTCCCTGGGCACATCACTTCACCTCTCTGCGCCTTGGTTTCCTTATCTGTAAAGTGGAATAATAATGGTTTCTACTCTAAGGGTTTTTATGAGGCTCAGGAGAATAAATACAAGCAAAGCACTTGGGATGGTGCAGTGAGGATTACATGAGTGAATGGATATTATTCTTACTACGATTATTTACTGCGTGCAGCCCTCATGCCAAACATTTTGCATATATGATATCATTGAGGGGTTATAAACTCAGATGTCTAGAAACCTGCCAGGTAATATAAACGGGGACAAAGGCCGGCTGGAAGGAGTCAGGCAGCAGAGAGTGATGGAGTGTGTAGCAAACCGTAGACTCCGCCCTGTCTTAAAGGGGCTGCCATCGCTCACTGCGGTGTAGCTTCTGCTTCCATGCAGGAAGCAAGGCCAGGGCCCCCAAATCTGTCAACTTCTAGAGTAAGTCTCTATATGGTGGTTTTTATATGCCAGGAACAGAGATAGATAGATAGATAGATAGATAGATAGATAGATAGATAGATAGATAGATAGATAGATCAATCCAAACTTTTTTTTTTTTAAGATTTTTTATGTATTTATTTGAGAGAGAGAAAGAGCATGAGCCGGGGGAGGGGCAAAGGGAGAGAGACAAGCAGACTCCTCGCTGAGTGCAGAGCCAACCAACAAGGGGCTCGGGGCTCGGGCTCGATCCCAAGACCCTGAGATCATGACCTGAGCTGAAGTCAGACGCTTCACTGACTGAACCACCCAAGCGCCCCAATAAATCCAAACTTTGAAGTGCTAACTCAAAATTCTTAAATGCCAGCAACCACATCAAGGTTTTCAACCCACCACATGGTATAGTCTGATGTTAAGAGCATGCATTCTTGTTCAGGGAACAGGAGAATGCATGTGCACCAGATTCTTCATTGCAGCACTGTTTGTAATCACGACGTATCAGAACTGACCAAAATGCCCACCCACAAGAGAGGGGCCGAATAGGCTATGTAACATCCAGACAGTGGAGCATAAGGGAGCTATCCAAAGAACGAAGACAAGTTCTAGGACCTGCTACGGAATGACATCCAGGACAGCCAGGGAAATTAACAAAGCAAAGTACACAAGAGTATTGACACAAGAGTGTCAATAGGCACCTATTCTTCACTAAGAGGATAGACACAGGTATTTACTCATCTGTATGAAAGAAATACAGGAAGGATACAGCAGAAAAGAAAGACATGGGTTCCTTACATGGGGTTGTTGGGAACGGGGTAGAAAAGGGGAGACAGGTACAGAGCAGGAAAGACCAGGATGGAAAACACTATTTAGTGTTTTTAGTGTAATTGTTTAGTGTAATTCTGACTCTCAGAATTATAATCGTGTTCCATATTTCCTTCACACACACCCAAAATAAACTAACAATTACAATAACAATGTAGGAAGAAGCCAGTATGGAATATAAACACTGACCAATGGATGTAACTTTATTTAAAAAGTAAATAAAGCAACCACACCGAAGGAGTGGGTCACCATGGGATAGGTCTTGACTGGACGCTGTAAGACTATGGCGAAAAGGTACAAACTGCCAGTCATAAAATAAGTAAGTCACAGAGATGAAAAAAGTACAGTAAAGGGAATATAGTCAAGTATATCGTACTAACATGGCATGGTGACAGACGGTGATTTCCCTTACTGTGGTGAGCACCGAGTAATGAAGAAAATTGTCAGATCACTATGAAACTAACATAAAATTTGATGTCAACATGTAATTCAGTAATAAAAAAATGCTTTTAAAAAGACTACAGAGAGGGGCGCCTGGGTGGCTCAGTCGTTAAGCGCCCGCCTTTGGCTCAGGTCATGATCCCGGGGTCCTGGGATCGAGCCCCGCATCGGGCTCCCTGCTCGGCGGGAAGCCTGCTTCTCCCTCTCCCACTCCCCCTGCTTGTGTTCCCTCTCTCGCTGTATCTCTCACTGTCAAATAAATAAAATCTTTAAAAAAAAAAAAAAAGACTACAGAGAAGGGGCACTTGGGTGGCTCAGTTGGTTAAGTGTCTACCTTCAGCTCGGGTCATGATCTTGGGGTCCTGGGATTGAGACCCACGTCGGGCTCCCTGCTCAGCAGGGAGCCTGTTTCTCCCTCCCCTCCCTGCTCATCATCTCTGTCGCTATCTCTGTCTCTCTCTGTCTCTCTCAAATAAATAAATAAAATCTTAAAAAAAAAAGACTACAGAGAAAAAGGACTGCACATACATGTTGTCACCTAGTAAATGTTCTCACAGGGACACAGGCAAATAATTCTGAAGCTGCTTTATGCCTATACTTGCATTGAACAAATACCTAAGTATACTGTAGAAGTGGGAGGTAGGTTTTGCAATGCTGGAGAAAGAAGTTATAAATAAGGAAAGAAGAAGGCTAAAATAAGCCCGTGATGTTGGACTAGAATCAGAGGTATCAGTATGATCTCATGGTAAGTGCTATATACATACAGATAGATACGGAAACGGAGATATGTGCATGCGCATGTGATACACACACACGTTTGTGAAAGGGCCTGGAAGCTGTGATACCTCGGTAACCACGAGCACACCTAGTGCTCAGATCTTAGTTTCTAAATACCCGTTCTCCTGTGAAAGAAACCAGGGATCCTTGCAGAAGCGGTTGATTCCAAAGACAGGGCAGGAAATACACAAGATAAGCCTGGAATGACATGTGGTGTCAGAAAGTGGGGGAGTGCTCAAGAAATGACAGGGGTTTGTCGAAAGAACACAGATGATCCGAAGGAATTCCAAAAGACCAAATCCAGGACAATTTGAGCCACAAAATAAATAATGATAGTATTGGATATTTAACCCAAGGAATCAAATATCTGTAAGTCTATACTGAAATACATAAATAAATAAGTGAATGGATGGATGGATGGATAGATGGAGGGAAGGGACAGCTTTCCTTACAGTAAAATTTCCATTAGACGGAGAGAAGAATTAGAAAGCCACAAAATCACCATTAGGCAAACACCACGCTAATAATTGCTACAGGCAAGATCCACTGACGTATGCTAAAATCAGTGGGCGAAAGTTCCAAGAGAAACATAATTTGCATGGTCTCGAGGAATCTCCCCCAAGATATTTATTAAGTGCAAAGGGAAGAAGAAAAATCCTATGATGGAGAAACCCAGCAGGCTCCACTGTAACCACACAATGAAGGTCAACATCACCAGTAACAGCAATGAGCTATGTCAACACCGTGAGCTCTCTGATACCAGGCATCGGGGAGGACACAACATCACAGCTCTGATAGTCTTGCCAGAAAAGCACATAACTTCATTCTGATCAGGAGAAAATACCTGACAAACCCCAAATGAGGGCTACCCTACAAAATAACTGCTTGGTACTAAAAAATGTCAAGATCATGAAAGGTAAGGAAAGACTGAGCCACTGGCAGGTTGGAGGTGACTAAGGAGAACAGCTAAATTCTAAATAATGAAATAACCAAGTGGGAAAAACTGCTGATATTCCAACAGGGTCTGTAGTTTAATTAATAGTATATTGTACCAATGTTAATGTCCTGTGGTTTTTCCTTAAAATTTTATTTATTTATTTGAGAGAGAGAGAGAAGAGGTGTGTGAGAGAGCATGAGTTGGGGGAGCGGCAGAGGGAGAGGGAGAAGCAGGTTCCCCGCTGAGCAGGGAGCCCAATTTGGGGGCTCCGTTCCAGGACCCTGAGATCAAGACCTAAGCTGTAGGCAGACGCTTAACTGACTGAGCCACCCAGGCACCCAACTTCCTGGTTTTAATAAACACATTGGGGCATCTGGGTGACTCAGTCAGTTAAGTGTCCAATTCTTGATTTCGGCTCAGGTCATGATCTCAGGGTCATGAGGCTGAGTGTGGAGTCTGCTTAAGCTTCTCTCCCTCCCTCTTTCTTTGTCCTTCCCCTCCCCCTGCACGCACATGCGCACTCTCTAAAAAATAAATAAACATACCGTAATTATGTAAGATGCTAACACAACAGTAGGAGAAACCGGGTGAGGGGAATATGGGAGCTCTGTAATATTTTTGTAAATTTTCTGTTAAATCTAAAATTAGTACAAAGTTAAAGTTCTAAAACAAATACCGTGGGCTCTTTGAGCCAGCCTGCCGGGCTACAAATTCTAGACTGTGTGACCCGGGGTCAGACTTTTCATCTCTAGGAGGCTTGGTTTACTCTTCTATAACATGGGAGTAACAACAGAACCTACAGTTTACGATCCAATATGAGGCTAAGTGAGTTATCCCTCTGATGCATTTAGTAGGAGCGGATTTGCTATTCTTACTGCGAAGGCCAAACAAGGGACCCCTTGTCACCTCACTGGATTTCCACAGTAGCACCACGAGATGGGTTTTACTGTCATTCCATTTTATAGAGGTCTCCAGGCAAAGGGCCTTGTCCAAGGTCAGTTGGTCAACAAACGCCAAAGCCAGTTCACTCGAGTGGCTTCAGATTCTACAGTGCAACTAACCTTTAAGAAACGATCTTCCTCATAACTGTCAAGGACATAAAGAAAAAAAAAGGCAAAAACAAGAAAAGCCTGAAGAAGAACTGTCACAGATAGGAGGAGACTAGAGATGGCAGCGGGATGAGGTGTGGGATCGTGGATCGGATTAGTGGAAAAATTGGTGAACGACCAAAGTCCATAGTTCAATTAGTGATATAATGCCAATGTTAATTTCTTAGCTTTGATGATGAGTACATAAAACATTGACATTAGGGGAAGCTGGGTGAGGGGGGTACAGGAATTCTGCACTATCTTTGCAACTCTTCCATAAATCTAAAGTTATTTCAAAATAAAAAGCTAAAATTATTTGAAAGACAGACAGAAAGGGCTGTGTGTTGAGTTTGGGTGCAGTATCAGAAAGGAATAGGCACAATTATTTGAAACTCCTTTTAAAATCCTCCTCCCGGGGGGCGCCTGGGTGGCTCAGTCGTTAAGCGTCTGCCTTCGGCACAGGTCATGATCCCAGGGTCCTGGGATCAAGCCCCACATTGGGCTCCCCGCTCTGTGGGAAGTCTGTTCTCCCTCTCCCACTCTTCCTGCTTGTGTTCCCTCTCTCTCTGTGTCTCTGTCAAATAAATAAATAAAATCTTTAAAAATAAAAAATAAGGGGCACCTGGGTGGCTCAGTCGTTAAGCATCTGCCTTCGGCTCAGGTCATGATCCCAGGGTCCTGGGATCGAGCCCCGCATCCGGCTCCCTGCTCAGTGGGAAGCCTGCTTCTCCCTCTCCCACTCCTCCTGCTTGTGTTCCCTCTCTCACTGTGTCTCTGTCAAATAAATAAATAAAATCTTTAAAAATAAAAAATAAGGGGCACCTGGGTGGCTCAGTCGTTAAGCATCTGCCTTCGGCTCAGGTCATGATCCCAGAGTCCTGGGATCGAGCCCCACATCGGGCTCCCTGCTCAGGCGGAAGCCTGCTTCTCCCTCTCCCACTCCCCCTGCTTGTGTTCCCTATCTCACTGTATCTCTTTCTGTCAAATAAATAAATAAAAATCTTTAAAATAAAATAAAATAAAATTCCCCTCCTGGGGCGCCTGGGTGGCTCAGTCAGTTGGGTGTCTGCCTTCGGCTCAGGTCATGGTCCCAGGGTCCTGGGATCAAGCCCTGCATCGGGGTCCCTGCTCGGTGGGCGGCCTGCTTCTCCCTCTCCCACTCCCCCTGCTTGTGTTCCTTCTCTGGCTGTGTCTCTCTCTGTCAAATAAATAAATAAAATCTTTTAAAAAATAAATAAATAAAATAAAATCCTCCTCCCTGTTTCAACCCGGAGTCTGTGTGAGACCAAATTTTCTTCGTATATATCATCCAAAGCAACATATTGAAACAGACAGCAGCGGAAGCAGATGTGGGGAGAATCTGGCTGTCTCCTATTAAGCCAGACATTAAAGAGACTTAAAAAGATGTAAACCAATGCCACTCTTCTCATTAGATGTCTTTTCTTTTGTATAGTAGTTATTTTTCATGCAAAATGCCACTTACCTTAACACAGAATGGATTTATTACTGCTCATTTTAAATGACTTAAAAATGTTTAAATGCCTCAGCTTTAATTTCTAATACGGCAAATATTATGGATATAACTCACATAAACTAAAGCTCCTTGACGTTCTCAATCATCTTTAGCTGCTCAAAGGGACTCTGAGACAAAAATGTGTGGGAACCATGGCTACACTCCATTTCGCCACTTCACAGGTAATATCTCATTTACTCCCCGCTATGAGGCCACACTAGTATCCACCCATTGTCCAGAGGAGGAAGCAGAGGCCAGAGAGGTTAAGTCACTTGCCCACGGTCACACAGCAGGTAAGTAGCAAAGGGAGGATTAAAACCCAGGAAGTTTGGGTCCAGAGGGTCCAGAGTCCAAGGCCTTACCACCACCCTTAGATCAAGGATCAGGAGGCAGCTTTGTGGGGACACTGAGCAAGGACAACAGCAGTCCCCTTCGGAGAACGTTTACTATAGTCTGGGCACCATAATCATTTCCCACAAAGTCAGCTGCACCACTGCTTGGAACCCCCATTTAACCGAGGCAGATAACTGAGGCTCAGGAAGAACAAGCCACCAGCCCAGGGTCCCACAGCAATCCACATGGGATACCTGAGCCCCCAACCCACTGGGCCTCCCTGGGATATGCCCAGGAAGTGGTCCCAGAAACTTACCTGGGTAAGAGAGGTGGACTTGCTCAGGGTCAGCCCTGGGAGCCACTGGGGTCCCCTGGACTCCCAAGGAGGAAATCAGGAGCAGACAGTAGCAGGACCAGCAGGGACAAAGGGGCCGCATGGTAAGGGGACAGTGGGGGGGGCAGATGGGGAAGGGGAGGGGTCCACAGTAAATCAGATCCCGTCAGGAACAGCACAAAGGGTCTGGGAAGATGGAGAATGGAGGGAGATCGGGCAATGACCGGGGAGGGAGGCAGGATGGCGGGGACGTCTTCAAGGGCGTGATTATCCAGATGCTAGAGAGAAAACAAAAATATTGATCACTACCAACCACCAAATGTTCTGAGACTCTCTGTGTGCTAAGCACTTTGCATAGATTAACTCATGGGAGCCTCACAACATTCCTTTGTGTGGTGGCTGCTCAGATCATCACCACCATATCACAGATGAGGACAGTGAGCAACAGTGATTCAGTGCACAGCTAGGATGTGATGGAGCCGGGACTGGAAGCCAGGGGTCCTGGTTCCAGAGCCCTAGTTCTTAACCATAGCTCACTCTCAGAGACAGGTTGGGGACTCACTGTAGAAAGTTGTCCTTGGCAACCCCGTCCCCAGCATTCCACCCTGCTCTTAGCAACCCCAGCTTCTTGGCCCTATGGCCTCCATCCCTAGCATTGCCCCCTGCTCTCAGAGCTCATCACTCCCTATTTCCGCCTCCAGCCTTCCATTTTGGTCTTAGTGACCCCAATCCCCCACTGCATCCCCAGGTTCTCCCCCAGAATTCTATCCTACCTGGAGCGGCCCCTTCCCCTCTATCCCCTCCTTGGCATCCCATCCTGCCTTGGTGACCCCAATCTCCCCCAGCCCTGCACCTGCATACCCACTGCCCTTCTCCCCGGCTCCAGTTTGCTCTCCAGCTCCCGGAGGACCTGCCGGGGGCGCCCAGCTGGGCCAGGACCTTCAGCCCGGAGGCTGGGAGCTGGGCAGGGGACTCCCTCCCAGTTCCTGGCTCACCCTCGGGGCGCCACCTGCCCGCACGCGCGCACGTCTGGGGCCACCAATGAGGCGGCGGTATTTATGAGTTTGTAGGCGCCGCCGCATCCTGCCGCCCACTTCTGTCCCAGCCCCGGAAGGGCCTGCCTTCTTGAAGTGACAGGCTCCCCAGACAACCGGGGCCCCGGGTCGCACAGGTCCAGCCGGTCCTGGACGCCCCACGCCCACCCGTCCACCTCCCCCCAGGGTGGGGCATGGGAAGGGGGACCCAGGAAGGTTTGGTACGCCGCAGCCGCCCCTCCAGGGTGACCACCAGATGAGCGCCGGGGACAGGTAAGGCTGAGCTTGTCCCGCAGCCACCCCACCCCGGGACTGCGGAGTCCCCAGGGCACCGACACTGGCCCCCAGCCCCGGCCCTGCCAGATCCCCCGGTACCCAGGTGTGCCAAGCAGCTGGGGCCTGCGACCCAGGGGATTCCCCAATCCCTTCCCGCGGGCTCCTCTTCCTCGAAATTCCTTCCTCCTTCCTCCTTCTCCAAGTTTAGCCCCTGGATTCCTTCCCCCCCCAGAACCCCCACTTCACCCCAAGGCATACTGAAAACACAAAATCAAAATCCAGGAAAGGTAGTGCTGCTTCTGAGCTGGGCGCCCTAGGCGGGTCACTTAACCTCGCTGAGCCCTGGCTTCTTCACCTGTAAAAGGAAGATAATAATAGTACATACCCTATGGGCTTTTGCGAGGATTAAACCAGATGAGGCATGAAATTTCATGCTGAGAACGTGGCCTGAGTTAGGGCTGGATAAGAATCAGCTTTTTTATTATGATGAATGCCATGAACTCCAGATATTGCCCTGGGGTCTAGGTGGGAGCGAGTGAGAATTTTCCTTAAACCTTCGTGGGCTGTTTGAAGGTTGAGAGTGGCTTGCCACACAATATGTTTGGGGGTTCCCCCAGCAGCAGGATAAGTGTGGAGGGTCCAGGTTTTTCATTGTTCTCCCTTCCTGTCGGTAGATAAAATGACCCAACCACTAGGCTTTTGTAAATCAAAGTATAGCAGTTCCGGGCGCCTGGGTGGCTCAGATGGTTAAGTGTCTGCCTTCGGCTCAGGTCATGATCCCAGGGTCCTGGAATCGAGTCCCGCGTCGGGCTTCCTGCTCCTTGGGAGCCTGCTTCTCCCTCTGCCTCGCTCTCTCTCTGTCTCTCATGAATAAATAAATAAATAAATAAATCTTTTTAAAAAAAGTGTAGCAATTCCTGGGTGCCTGGGTGGCTCAGTCTGTTAAATGTCTGCCTTCAGCTCAGGTCATGATCTCGGGCCTGGATGGAGCCCCGAGTCGGGCTCGCTGCTCAGTGGAGTCGGCTTCTCCTTCTCCCTCTGCCGCTCCTGCTTGTGATCTCTCTCTCTCTCTTTCTCAAACAACACCAACAACAAAACCCCCACAAAGTATAGCAGTTCCCCTGGTTGGGTACACAGATTTCAGAGACTGACTCTCAATCCAGTGCTACTGAATTATAGATATAGAAATATTTTTCTAAGTTTATTTAAGTACTCTCTACACCCAAGGTGGGACTCGAGCTCAGGACTCCGAGATCAAGGGTCGCATGCTTTTCTGACTGAGCCAGCCAGGCACCCCTAAAAGTATTTTTTTTTTTAAACAAATTTGTGATGCAGTAAGATATGTGCTTCTTTCTTAATGCATTAAACTTCAAGATCTAGCAACATTCAAAAAATTATGGTAACTCAGAAGTTTCAATGAGTGTATAGATGTTTGAGAGGCCTGAATGACTGCAGTGGGATGTGAAAACATCTTTGATTTCTTTTTCTTTCTTTCTTTCTTTCTTTCTTTCTTTCTTTCTTTCTTTCTTTCTTTCTTTCTTCTTTCTCCTTTCTTTTTCTTTCTTTCAGAGAGAGAGGGAGCATGGCAGGGGGAGGGGAAAGAGAATCTTTTTTTTTTTTTTTTTAAAGATTTTATTTATTTAGTTGAAAGAGACAGAGATAGCAAGAGGGGGAGTGGGAGAGGGAGAAACAGGCTTCCTGACAGGCAGGGAGCCCGATGTGGGGCTCGATCCCAGGACCCCGGGATCATGACCTGAGCCGAAGGCAGTCGCTTAACAACTGAGCCCCCCGGGCGCCCAGGGAAAGAGAATCTTAAGCAGACTCCACGCCGAGCGCAGAGCTTCATCTCGTGACCCTGAGATCATGACCTGAGCTGAAATTAAGAGTCAGACGCTTAACCGACTGAGCCACCCAGGCGCCCCTGATTTCTTTTCATGGCAGAGCTGGAAGTCTGCAAATAGGACAGAAGGACATAGTAAATTTCAATCTCAGCAGTTGTCATTAAATTATACCCTCTTAAAAATTATGGAGGACTCCAAAGAGGTTTTGTATATATGGGTTGTATCTATTGATATTTGTCATGTAAGAAAATTGAAATGAGGTTTTTTTTGTTAAAGATTTATTTATTTATTTGACAGAGACAGACACAGCGAGGGAGGGAACACAAGCAGGGGGAGTGGGAGAGGGAGAAGCAGGCTTCCCGCGGAGCGGAGAGCCTGATGCAGGGCTCGATGTGGGGCTCGATCCCAGGACCCCGAGATCATGACCTGAGCAGAAGGCAGACGCTTAACACCTGAGCCATCCAGGTGCCCCTAAAATGAGAAGTTTTTAAAACACAAGAATACACATGCATACATTCCATTAGCCATCATACCAATGACATCACCACAAATCAGGCAGCCTTTGGAGAGTGAAAAGGACAAACACATCTTTGTATTATTGTGAAAATAGTTTTGACCTCATTAACGCCCTTGAAAAGGTCTTGAGGATTCTTGGGGATTCTCACACCACGTTTTGAGGACTGCCGAGTTAAAGGGCGGTAAAAGCAAAGAGGCCATTGGTTTTCCCACCCAAATTCATGTAGCCCCTGAATTCCATGCACCAGCTCCGATTAAAACCCCCCCTACAGGGCGCCTGGGGGGCTCAGTCGTTAAGCATCTGCCTTTGGCTCAGGTCATGATCCCAGGGTCCTGGGATCGAGCCCCACATCAGGCTCCCTGCTCCGCTGGAAACCTGCTTCTCCCTCTCCCACTCCCCCTGCTTGTGTTCCCTCTCTCGCTGTATCTCTCTATGTCAAATAAATAAATAAAATCTAAAAAAAAAAAAAAAGCCCCCCTACAGTTGTACCTGTTGGTCCCTGACGCGGTGGATGAGGGCTCCCAGCTCCCTAGTGTCCCTTCTCCCCCCAACTCCTGCTCTAATCTCAGCCCTCCCCTACTCTCAGGACAGCCGTAGAACTATTTCCAGTCCTCTTTTCGGACAGCTCTGTGTTTTAAGAAATATACTTCCACCTCTCTTATTTCTTCTGCTCCTTGTGCTGGGGAACAGAGCATCTACTCTGGGGCCAGATGGCCTGAGATTAGCTCTAGCTCGAGCATTGACTAACTTCGGCAAGTTACTGAACGCCACCGTACCTCGGTTTCCCCCTCTGTCACATGTCAATAATAATAATAATAGTAACAGGCTCATAGTGTTGCTGTGAAGATTAAATAAGGTAACAGATACCAACAACTGAAAACAGTGCCTCGCACAGAGCAGGTGTCGCCCGCATACCTTCCAGTTATTATTATACCTTAAGCACCTGGGCTGCTCAGTGTGTAAGATAAGGGCTGTCCAAATCATTTTAAGATTATCTGAACCTTCTTTATTGTGAAACATAACATTACAGAAAGTACCTGAAACGTAACTAGTCCACTTAACGAATTATGACAAAGGGAACAGACCTGTGTAACCCACCGCCCAGGTAAAGAATCAAATTCCACCAGTTTTCCCTGAGCCTCTGCCCAGGCACTACTTTCTCTCTCCGCGTGGAGGTACCCACCTGACTTAAGTTTTGCTGCCGAGATATGCCTTCTTGTAGACAGTTCCATTGTGCCTCTTTTCCACATGATGCGAATAATATGCTGTATGACTTCTGGTGTCGGCTTCTTTCCCTCAACATTATGATTGTGAAATTCATCCGGGGCGGGTGTATGAGTGCCATCCATGGCTCCTCGTTGTGGAGTCGAGGTCCATGGTGTGAAGACACCACAATATGTTTATATGTTCATATACCAACTATGGATGGAAATTA